TATCGCCCTCTTTTCGATAGTATCCAAACTATAGAAATGTTGAAATACGAAGGATTTCTTCAATTGCTCGGCATGAAAAGATGACGGATAATATAAAATATCAGAACACGTACCTTTCCTGTTTTGTCCAATTGATTTATAAAACTACTCAATAATTCTTATTAATTCATGTATAAATAGTATCCTAAAAGCATTCTGCTGGGTGTGGGTATGTTTATAATACCGTACGCTTTTATCTGTATGTTCAACAGTCGTGTAAAGTTCAGGAAACGTAAGATAAAAAAATATGTTTTTTTTTTCTTACTTAAAATGTGTTGTCAGTTATCTCACACCCTGAAGAACACTTGTATGAGTAGTACAGTGAAGAGATATCGTTTCTAACTTGCTTAGATTTTTTAAACAATTGGACAAAAAATTCATTGAAAATTGCACATAAAAACGCCCCCCCTTAATTGCATGTCAAAAAATGCGCAATAACTACCTCTTAAAACCCACCAAATTTCATTTGCACATCTCGACCGGTTTCAGAGCAATAAATTAAATCGTCAGTTTTTAAGAAAAACTTTGACAACCCGTATCTTGGAAAACAAATCATTTGTGGACAAACGTTTATAAGCAAACTGCCATTATTTTCTCATGTAGAATCACCCCATGAAATTTGTTGCATTTATTTACTAACACCCTGTATAATACATAAACTGAAGCTTAAGTTGGTCATGATACGTAAGACATAAAGACGTACCTATTTATTTTTACGTTAATTGTTAAAATCGATTTAAGTATATACAGTTGAGCCGAGACAAAGACAGGACTGGTTCTAGAAAAATCCACACTTCGCTTCAGGTGTTTATTGAAACAGAGACAAGTTAGGGGTGAGTTCCTTGAAAGAGAGATTATAATACAATAAAAATACATAAAAGCTTTACTTGGCACCATGTAGCCCTATCGTGTGCTTATAGCATTCCAAACATTAGTACCAGCGGATTACATTTTATTTACGTGGCCACCACGTTCTCCTGAATTAAAAACTATCACCAATTTTTATTGGGAAATAACATTGGTTTTTGTTGGTCAAAACATGACTAAACGTGCCCAATCGTGCTTATGAGTCGTGGACAAAATGTTGAACGTTTACTGATTACATTTAACAATAATACAATTTAATCCAATTTTTTTTTGAAGTTATGAATCATTACGTCGTCATATACTGGCTCTGGTTTTTCCAAATAGATAGCGCCATCTATCAATAATTGTAGACACTTTTTTACATCATAATATTTCAATCAACGACCGCCTATAAATTTAAAGTATACTGTAATATTTATTAAGTATCATATATTAGTACTATTTTTACTCGAAACATGGCGCCGCAAAGAGTTACCACAAAAATCGCGTTTTTTACAATTCGCAGAGAACTAAAGAAAATAGATAAAAATATGTTTTTGGTCTCAAATTACTCGTAAAAAATTAAGATGAATGTGGAATCATCCCCAAAAATAGGGAATATCAGAAATAATTGTAAAAATTCAAAAAAAATATATGAAGATAATTCAGGGCTAGGAAAACATAACTATTCATAGTAAGTTTCAAGAAAAAACTACCCCTTAATGAGGGTTCAAGCCACTCCATTCTCAAAAAAATACAACAAAATTCATTATTTTAATTTCTCTATGGAATAAATCACATTCATACATTTTCACGACTAAATGGGCATGTTGTGCTCATTTAAGTTTTTTCTGACAAGTAATTTGCGACCAAAAACATATTTTTGTATTTTTTTAAATTCTCTGCGGATTGTGAAAAAAAAACGGGCGAAAATCACAGGTTTTTTGCGGTCATTCTTTAATTCTCGTCTTGATTAGCATGCAATCATATGTTTTGTGATGTAATCCCTAGATTCCTAGAGCAGTTATTATTTTATTATTATTTAGCATGGATATGGCACTCGCAGATGCTGCAGATTGGTTTGCTGCAAATCAATTAAATGTTAAATAAAAATAAAACGAAACAAATGATTTTTAGTACGAGGTCTCCCAGTGATGGCGTTGCGTCGGAGGTGGCGGTGAAGTTCTTGGGTGTGTGGCTCGACAAGAGTTTGACGTGGGAAGTACACTGTACTAATGTCTCGAGAACATTATCTAGAGTAATATACCTTATTAGAAATTTGCGGGATGAAGTATCTTTTGACTTGATAAAGAATGTTTACTACTCTTTATTTCATGCTGCCTTCTCATATAATATTGTAATTTGGGGACATTCTGCACATCTGAGGAGCGTCTTCGCGGTACAGAGGAGGGTGTTGCGAGTCATGGCTAGATTGGGATATCGAGATGATGTCAAACATACATTTAGAGAATTAATGATCCTTACGGTACCTTCAGTATATATACTGTCAGCGCTTATGCATGTTAAACAGAACTTGCACGACTATACGGAAGTCCGTGAAATTCACACACACTCTACTAGATATAGCGAGTACGAAAATTTGAGGGGTGATTTTTTGAGGGTTGCTAGGAGCCATCAATTTCTGGGGACCTAAATTTTATAATAGCTTGCCATTAATTGTAAAGGGCCTCCCTGTAAGGGAATTTAAAACCACAATTAAGCGACGGCTGTTAGCGGGGGCTTATTATACTTTCGACGAGTTTTTGTCTGACAGAAATGCTTAGTTTTTAACATGTATGTTGTGTTTTATGTATATAATGGTATTGTGTTTTTTGTGTGGTATACATACATTTTATTGTTGTACTTTGACTTGTGTAAACCTCTTTGGTGTAAACATTAATAAATATCTACTCTACTCTACTCTATTTAAGAACAAAAACTACGTAAAAAAACAAAAGGGCTCCTACATACAAATATAATCATATACTAGTGCACAATAAAAGCTAAAGAATTAAATTTATATTTAGGCCTTAAAATAATACTAAGAAAATACAATAGGGAACAGTGTTAGTACAATAATGTTTCTTTGCACTTGTAACCCGGTCCCCCCTACACAAATTACGAAGAATTAAACAAAAATTATAAATTACATAGAATGCAGGGTTAACTTTACATGTGTACATATAAAAATTAAAGAGGTCAAAAAAGTAAATGTAACAAATAAACACTTGTCTAATCATAGAAAATAAAGGCAGTTACTGCAAAATTCAAATAATTAATTTAGGACAGGACAAATAATGAATATCAGGCTGGAAGTGTGAATTGATTTTGTACAAATATAATTTAAATAAAATAAAAAACTTCCCACTAAGTACTGCTTTCCGGTTTACCACAACGCTTGTCTCGAAAATCATGTGGACAATCAATTACTGAATTTCCAAACTAGAAGTGAAAAACAGGACAGGCAGTATTGCTAAAAACCACCCCTGCATAGGAATGGCAAGAGAAGGAGGCTTTGAACATTCTTATTAAAATATTACAAAATTTCCGACATCTAAACCAATACTTAATTTATTTATTTCTTCTTAGTTCATTAAAGAGCCGAGTTTACACGTCTATACGACATCGGCAACACAGAAATGTTGATCTCTCAACGCATAAATACCACAGCCAAGTCAGCAGTTCTCAACCATTTTTTATTAAGAAAATAATTAAACCGGATTTTTTTGCAGTTGTTTAAAATACACATGTACACATTTAACATTCTTCCTGAATATTGATAATGAAAAAGATACATTTTTAAACATAGAAAAAAGCAGGTGCATATTACAAAGTATTCATTTCGACGTTCGCAAATAAGAACATCATATCTCAATTTTTAGTAAAAATTAGTAAAGATTACTTTTCTATATAAGAAGGCCTTCTTTTTCAGCTAAAACCATGTATTCCAATTTATTTTGAAAAATATATTCAGTTTTTGAAAAAGTATTTTTATCGTATCTATTTTGTATAGAAATTTAACCTAAATATTATCGTAACAACAGTTACAATTTTGCTTATACAGTTTAAAATAAACATATTAATCGTATGTAGAGTTGCTCCTGGATTATAGCAAACATGCTTTTTAAAGAACATCGTATTTTTATATACGATTATATTGAAGGTGTAACAATTATTACACCGTTTTATTGCAAGTGAACATAAGATGTTAATACTTTTTTGAGAAGTATGTGGTATTTTCATCTTAACTTAACATACGATGTTATTACTTTTCTATTACTGCCGGTGGTGAGTGTATACAACTCTATATCTTTAGATATGATATTCTAGGTTTCTTAGATATAGAGATAGTTACATCTCATCTCTACATAAGATGTTAGTTACTTAAAAAATAGCAGATAGCTCCATCGTATCTTACTAAAGTTAATTTAAAAAGAAAAATAATGGTAATTTTCACTATACGTTTATAAGAAATTGTTTCTGTACCTCATATTTAGACTGTAACCAAATTTCATATGGTAACTTTGAAAAGATGTGTTGCAATTAAGAGAAAAACCTCTAGAACTTTAAACCTACTTTGTGAGAAACCATCATTATCGAGTTACGATGTTCTTATTTGCGAACGTCGATTTGTAACAATGCATTAACATTGTTACAAAAGCGATAGTCCAAAATCACTTGTCTTGTCTCTGTGTTTCAGTGAGAGTTTTGTGTTTGAACCGATGTTTTTCACGATAGGCTTTACATTTTACACATTCACATATTTATGGTCGGTCTCTTAAATGCCTCCATTTTTGACTGTATTTTGCGCTTCAATGGACCATACTTCACACCCATGAATGTTTCTGTGCATCAGCAGATACCTCCTTAGAGACTTTTTCTGCGTGGTTTCAGGATCACATTGATGCATTTGAATACACTCGTGAAGGCTCTCTACGCTTCAACCTGTAATATTTTAAACCTCTCCTGCATTTGGATTCATAGTCACAGTCGGTACACTTTTTCTATGTGTCAGTTGATGCCGTTTGATATTCTCCTTGTATTTGGTTTCGTAATCGCAGTCATTACACCTGTACATTTTAACCTGCGAAGGATCTTTATGTTTCAGTTGGTGCCCTTTGATATTCCTCTTGTATTTAGTTTTGTAATCGCAGTCGTTACACCTGTACATTTTGACCTGTGAAGGATCTTTATGTACCAACTGCTGTCTGGTAAAGTTTCTCTTATCCTTTGAATCGTATGTACAACCGTCACATTTATAAATGGGAAGTTGTAAACTGTCCTTATTCGGTAATGCGGTGTATTTGGTTTTACAGTCACATTCTACACAATTGTTCGAATTTTTATGTTTCATATAATGACTATTAAAATTGACCTTACGTTTTGTCTTGAAATCACAAAAGTCACACTCGTACAATCGTCCTTCAGATGCGCTTTTGTGTTTCACCTGACACTTAGCAAACTCACACATGTGCTTTGTCTTGTGATCAAATGATCCGGATGGGTGCATACGTACTTCCAAAGGAGCTTTATGCCTCAGCCGGTGCTTCTGAAAAAATTTTTTATTTTCAGTTTCATACTCACACGATTCACATTTATATGCTTCCGAATCGTTCTCGTGTCTCGCACGGTGTGCTATAAATCGGCTCTCGCTTCCAGTTTTGTAAATACATTTATCACATTTGTAAAATACTTTGTCGTCCTGCTTGACTTTCGTGTTACATTCGTTTGTCGATCTATTCTCATGTTTACATCCATCCCCTTCTGCATCTGTAAGGACGCTCTTCTCGAATGATTCACTATCGGAGCTCTGCAGTAGCGAGTCACTGAAAAAATTACATATACAGGGTATTTTCCAAAGTGAGGTGTTAATTCTAATGGGTCATAGGTTATTCCAAATGCAATTATAAGTTTCTGAACTACACACTTCATTATTTCAGTTTTATTAGCATATAAATTATATTTTTTAGGACAGTCACATTTGTATTGAAGATATGTTAAAAATAATTAATTATGCGGAAACCCTGCAATGCTAGGATGTAAAATTAAATAAGATCTAGAATTATACGGTTGCCATTTAAATTATTGTTAAAATAGTCTTCTCTTACCTCCTTTCTTCATCTTCCGATTTTATGTCAATACTTTCAGTTTTGATTGACATTTCCATGTCGTTAAAATCGAATTCTTTGTCCTGGTTTTCAGCCTTAACGAATAAATCAGATGGTGACGTATCCATCTGACTTTCCGCTGCTGCGCTATTAAAAATACCTCTAATTTTTTCCTGTATTTCCCTGCAATTTTTTAGGAAACTGTTGTGGGTGCACACAGAATCAAAGCATTCCTTACATACAACGGGATCTTTGATGATATTTAAATTCTGCAAAGTAGTTTCATTAAATTGCGAAAAATGTAACTATTTAACATCATTGATACCATTTCAGGAACCAATTCCTCGATAGCTTCAAGTTCCTCTTCACAAATGCACCTAAACTCACTTTCTACTGGATGCATACACAATCGACATATTTTCTGACCATCTGAAATATCCATTGACTCGCTTATCTTTTCCTTCGCATACACATCTCTTATATCGAGCTGCAACATTTTTTCACAATCCACATATGGAATAATTGTGTAATCGTTCTTCAGACAAGTTGACTTAAATTCGAAAGCTGCGTTTAACTTTCTTCTGCAAACGGTACATATAACCTCTTTGCCCTCGCTATCAAATTTCTGAAATATATACAACTTTAACTAAAGAGAATGAAAATCACTTTGGCAAAAAATATAAATTATCAAGTAAAACAATTATAACTATAGTCACATTTAAAAACAATTTTCAAGTCAATTTACAACATTCAAAGAAAAATAAAATATAAAGGAGCNTCAAATTTCTGAAATATATACAACTTTAACTAAAGAGAATGAAAATCACTTTGGCAAAAAATATAAATTATCAAGTAAAACAATTATAACTATAGTTACATTTAAGAACAATTTTCAAGTCAATTTACAACATTCAACGAAAAGTAAAATATAAAGGAGCCATGTCTATGAAATGTGAATTAGTTCACATTTGGAAAAATCGCTATCGAAAAATCATAAGACACAAACGCTTTAAGAGTTTTTTAAAATCTATTACAATAAAGAAAAATTAAGTAGTATTATTATAATATTGTCATGAGAAAATAAAGTTGTTTTTTCTTTATAGGAACACCCTGTATATTATTCCATATTTCAATTATTCTCGAAATTCTAAACAAAATTCATATATCACATCATGTATCTAAACTTTACCGTATTCTAAATATTGAACTTTGAAGTTCATTTTCTTATAAGTTATACAAAAATATTTTAGTCCCTCAAGTTGCCTTTGAAAGTTTCTAGCTTCAGGACAATGAGACAATGCCGCATCGTTCTTTTGCCTAAATTAGACACAGTGTAATAGTGATTATCTCGACAACACATGTCAAAAATATAATTTGTGTGAATAATTTTTACGTTTTATTGATCATAGGATATGGTGACAGAAGAGGAGGTAGTGGATATTTCTCATGAATTGCATCTCGATCAGGAACGTACTTCTAAATCACACTAAATGTATTTTGACATGTGTTGTCAAGACAATCAGTAATCACTATTAGACAAAAGAACGACGAGGCGTTGTTATGGAGCTAGAAACTTTCAAAGGTAACTTGATGCACTATAAACTTAATGGACTAAAATATTTTTTTATAATTTATAAAAAATGATTTTCAAAGTTCTATATCGCGTAAACGGTTAAGTTTAGGTACATGAAGTATACTATATGAATTTTGGTTTAGAATTTCGAGAAGAATTGAAATATGGATACAGGGCTGTTCCAATAAGGAAAAAGCAACTTTGTTTCTTCATAATTTATTCACTGATCCTGTATACTTTTCTTTATTGGAATAGATTTTAAAAAACGTTTATATCTTATGATTTATCGATACCTATCTTACTTTTAGGAGATATTCGATCGTTTCCATCCATATCAACGACCCTGAACTAATACATATAACTTACCAATTTTAGCAAAAGAACATCTAAACTATCTCTAATAACGTCGTTTATTACCTCAAAACCTACAGTTTTGAGACAAAGCTTACAAGAAGTTTCTTGAACATTCTTCATTGCAACAATTTTCTTTGAAATGTAAATATAAAACCGTAACTTGTGTTGGTTGTTTAACCTCAATGAAAACTTCGAATAGTTATTGTTCTTCTTCCTCTTCTGTTATCGGGACAACAAGAATGGTAAAATCTCGTCTATA